GTTTCTTCACCAACAGAGATGTTTCTTCTGGCTTCATCCGCCATTTTAAAACTCACTAATTCAAACCTTTTAATAAAAATAATACCTAAGAAGAACAAATAGTTTTCAGCAACTGTCGAAAAGTTTTGTTAAAGTGCAGAAAACGTAATTAAACAAAGGTTTGTTTGAAATTAACCACGTAATTTGTAGTTTCTGAAGAGTTACGGTTTATTTAGCGCACAGGTCGTCCCGGAGTCAGTTAGCTTGTCGCTAGGCAACGAGGTACCGTTAAATATGGCGGTGCATTCTGGGTAGTGTAGTTTTTGTATAAATGGCCGAAGTTGTTCAAAATGAGGCATATATGGGCAAAGTATGTAAACAACTTTACATACAAATAATAAATAAGACTGAGGGAATTTAACTGGTCGTTCAGAAGCAACTAAATGTTAATTTAATCTTCTTGTAGCTATGGTAACGGAAAATGTGTCTTTAAATATTTGGAGACTTTTTTTTAGAGATTTACGGAAACAACAGAGGAATTTTAATGTAACGTTTTCTTTATTGTTTGGAATATTTAAAATGCAATGACCATAAAAAGTGAAAAGATCGTTTTTCTTACTTTTTGTTGTCGTAACAAAATTAACTTTGCGACAACGAAGCTTGACTTACGGCTTAGTGCCGTAAACTGTTGCTCCAGCAGGTCCAGGACGGCGGAGACAACACGTGTGATTGTTGGCTGAAATGTGAGTTATTTTTTGTCAAAATGTCCATTATTTAGTTATTTTATAGTACATTAATATAAAATTTAATTATTTAGCGGCTAAACGCGCAGAAAAAACAAACATTTAATAAGAAAAAGGTTTTATTGTTGTTTACTTTCACATATTTTTGTGTTTTAACTGTAAACTGACACATTTGTTGAAACTACTAAAATCAGAACCTTATTTTTGGCGACTTTTTTACAGTAGCGAGTTTAAAGTTTGACTATGTTTAGAAATGTAAACAAAAACAGAACATTTACACATTTGTTTTTATTTTACTGACTGCAGGTTTTATCACGATTTTACTCACATTAAGACAAACTATAAAAAAGAAAGGAGTTGAGGGTTTAAAACGCAGTAATAAATGTATTATAGTTAAACTGCAATGTTTTTACTGAAATATAAGTCAGATTATGTTAAAATCACTGCATTTTTTAAAGGCTGAGTCTTATATATTTTTGATTTTAGATTGTAAATGTGGTGAAATAAAGTCTAATCTAAGTTGTATTCATGAATAACGTCGTCACATTTAAGCTGAATTACCTCTCAGATCTGAAGCTGTAATTATTTGATTTTAGTTAGTTTTTCTGTTAGTTTTTTAAATCTTTCTGCTGTTTTCCTCAGTAGAAAGATGGACGCCAAACCAAGGAAACCTTTCTCTCCTAAAGGTGGGAAAAAGCTGGGCCCCAAAGGAAAAGGTGAGTCGATCGGCGTCTGGCTCTGAATCTGATCGATCAGGTTGGATAACTGCCGTGTCGCGCTCCTTCCAGACCCCGCAGGACCCAAACCAGGCGGGAAGAGACCCTTCAAACCGTACAGAACCTCAGAGAAGAGGAGACCCGGGGCGGCCCAGGATGGAGGCGGGAAACAGCAGAAAGCAGGTTTTAATAAAGGAGGGAAGAGGAAGCTGAGGGAGGAAGATGGAGGTGAGAGAGCTGATCGTTAAACACCTCCAGCTGTTCCGGGCTCAGGTCTGAGTGTCCCGGTCTGTGATCAGGTCCTGAGGTGAAGAAGAGGAGGTTTAAAGCGGAGAAGAAGCCGACGCAGGAGGAGCTGAAGAAGAACCGGCAGCAGAAGAAGAAGGAGCTGAAGAAGAGCCGACAGCAGGCGGACAGGAAGGACATGTTCGACATCATCAGTCGCTCCAAACAAGTGTGGGGAGAGCTGAGGAGGTACGGGACCGGGTCTGTGGGTCCRGGTCTGTGGGGCCGGGTCTAGCATGTTTCATTTATAAACAAATTACAAGGCTTATGGTGCGTTCACACCAAACGTGATTTCAGCATCAGGAGCAGCAGGTTTACATACAAAGTCTATGGTGGAGGCGCTTCAAGC